CAGCTTTTTTTTTTTTTTTTTCTTTTTTTTTTTTTTTTGTAGAGGCTTTTTTTGCTATAGGGCGCGTGCGCTCGCCAGAAAAACAGAACAAAGACAGAGAGACAGAAAGCAAGAAGTCATCCCCCAGGGGGGATGGCCACGCCACAATCCCTTCTCCTCCATTCTCCTCTTGGGATCTTGGGCACGCACGTACATGTGCCTGGTGTGAGTTTAAGGCGCCAGGTCCAGGATTCGAACCACGGTCGACTATGTGGGAGTCGAGTGACATAGCCATTACGCTAACTGCTGGTCCCCAAAGCAGCTGTTTTGAGAAGTATAGCTATATGTAGGGAGCAGCCAGATCTGGACAAAGCACTAGCAACCTTTAAAGTAGGTATGTTCTTTGTGCTGACACTGGAGGGTAAGCAAAAGCACTAAAAAGACATAATCTACTGTTACACTCCAGGGCAGTGTAAACTAAAGGAAGCTGAGTGTCAGCCAGAGAAGCCCAGGAAAAACTTGTTAGAACCATGTGATGTAAGACAGCCACAATAGAGAATACTTGCCTTTACCTTCAGCTTCTCCCTCCCCAACTGCTGTATAAAAGAATAAACCTGGGAATGGTTCAGAGCCAATAGAGACACCTGGTCTGCCCCAACTCTGCTTTTCTCTACTTGTCAGTCTGTCTGTTCTTTCTTAATCACAGCCTCCTTCCATGTCCCTTTGCCTCGCAGGCCAAGCCAGCTATAAAGATAGGATGGTAACTGAAGGGAAAATGCAGTATATTGGTTGATTTGTTTTGACAGGGGAGTCTTTAGTATATTTAAGCACAAGTAAAATTTAAAAAAAAATTATTTAATATTATTTTAATTTGACCAGAGAGAGACAGAGAGAGAAAGTGAGAAGGGAAGTTGCCAGGTTCAGGATTGGAACTATGGTTGGCCATATGGGAGTCCAGCACCTTAACCACCACACCACCTGCCAGCCCAAATGGGAAGAATTTAGTAAAGTGGGAAGAAGTTGGAGATCTTCAAAGAGGAAAGGACTATGACTCAGAGCTCAGAAGTAGGCACCAGCCTTAGGTAAGAGGGATGCTTACTCTTTTTAGACAGGAGAAAAAGAGAATGATACAGATGTATGTGAGCAAATAAGTTAAGTTGTAGGATATTGAGGGGGGTACCAACTAATAGCTTTCATTTTGTCTATGAAGAAGAACAGTTACCAACAGACATTGAAGAGAATGGTGGTGGTGGTGGGTAATAAGAGGCTTCAGAATGTTGATTTTAGTCACTACAGGGAACAGAAAAGACAACTAGGAAAACCTAGTGGGATTAGAGTGGCTGAAACTCCATTTGTAGTTGGTAACAGCAACAACAAAAAACTACTACAAGTATTGGGCCAGCCAGTGATGTGGTGGTTAAGATGGCTGGATCTCACGTGACTGACTGTGGTTTGAGTCCCAGACCCAGAGTCTTGAAAAGCACACTGGCCAGTATGCCCAAAATCCCACGAGGAGAATGGAGAAGGAACTGCGCTATGGTAATCCTCCCTGAGGGGCGCTTTCTCACTTCCTCTGTCCTTTTCTCTCTCTGTCTGATGACTACACGTTCCCTATAGTAAAAATTTAACAAAGAAAATCAGTATAACTATTATCCAACATCCACAACACTGTGTAAAGTTCAATGTCAAATAAGATAAATGTCTATATCCCTGCTGATTATCACACAATGTATGAATGCTTTGAAAAACCATGCTGTACCCCATAGAGATGTACAATTACACGTAAACCAGAAAAGACACACACACACACAAAGTTGATAACCAGAGACTCACAGTGGTATAAACCTGCTCTGTAGTGCTTTTCTCAGGTGGCATTTAGCTGTCCAAATGCAGACACAGACATATGTTTCATTTTATTTAATAGTTCTAAAAAAAGGCAAGGAAATTCAACCTATTGCAAGAAAGTCACTAGAATTTAAGCTGGATAGTTTTCTAAAGACAGGAAAGTGCTAAATGGAGACAAGGTAAAAGCAACAGCCCAAATACTGCAGTGGAATCAAAGAATAAAAATAAACAGTTCAATGGACAACATGCAAGGAATATGGTCAATGAGTATGATTCAAGTAACAGCATTTTAAATATGGAGCAGTGCGGAGTGATAACAATGTCCAGGATGTAACTAAGAGAGAGGGGTGGCTAAGACAGAGCGTAAATCATTGGAGATTGGGTCAAGGAACTGAGATCAGAACACCGAATGGATACTCTATGTAAAACATTACAGTATCAAGGGGTAGATAGGAAAGCCAAGGGAGAAAAGAATTTAGAGCAAAGTAGCTGAGAATGTTAATTTATGAGTGCCAGGACAAATAATCATGGATGAATAGCTTCAAAGGAATGAGACTTTACTAAGGAGTAGGCAGTAAAATTCTGAAGCCACTATGGCAGGAGCACCAACCCTGTCTTGTGACAAACCGTTTGATAATGTGAGAAAGCTTCACCGCCATATATTCCTGTGTGTTGTGCACAGAACATCACATTGCTCTCACAATGCCAAAGGCCAACACTTTACGGCAGGACCTGAGGGAGACTTCCACAGCTATGGGGGGTAGGGTGGAAGGAATAAGGTGTTTCTAAGTATTAAATATATTGATAAAGAAAGGAATGAATCAGATTAAAGAGGTTACACATTTAAGAAAAGGATTCATTGATTAGTCAGATTTAGGGATACTTGTTTATCCATACCTAGATGCAGGTTGGGTATAAGGTTGTAGATAAAAACTGGAAGTTCAAAGAGCAAAGGCATCAGAGTCAGATAGACCTGTTTGTAGCCCTTCTCTAGCAAAGACTAATTATCTGACAAAGAGAGGAAGCACAGATAACGCACAATGGAAGTTTACTGCAAGGATACAAATGTTAAAGTGGCTCCCTCTAGCAGCATATCCCAGGTTCTCATTCTTCTCTCTGGGAGTTGAGAAGTTCACAAGCTGTTCTACTTACATTTATACTTCCCAAGGAGAAAAGTTATTGAGTAGAAATGAAGCCACTCAGGGGGAGTGGCCAGCAACTTTAACCTTCCTAGCAAACTCTTCTGTTCAAGATAATTTTTAAGAGAGAGCGGCCATAGAGGACAAAACACTGAATGAAGCCACTTTCCTCAAAAGGTTTACTGTGTAGATGGGCTTCTAGTATATTCTAGATCCTTGCTTCCTCATCTTTTAAGTGAGGGTAATATATCTCGTAGCTCAGCTGTAGAAACTAAGATTAAGCCTGATACCTACCAATATCAGAATCTATATGAAGTGGGTGACCAATATTATTTTGAGGCAACCTGGTGTTATAAAAAGATTATGAACCTTAAAGTCGGATCTGCATTTTGACACAAGGTCTTCTACTTGAGAATTTAAAGTTTCTGATCTGTGGCTAGAAGAGAGTATCTGCTTTCACAAGAGGTTAAGTTTATTATTATAGAAGTCAATGTGTAAGAACTTTAATTCCTCTGTGAAAATGAAGCATGGTCACCTAATGAGGGACAGATGAGGGTGGGGTGTGGGTTAAAGAGGGCAGTGAAGATGTAAAATCAACTGCCATGGTGTTGAAAGAGACTGGGCCAGGATCCCATAAAGGATTGCATATTGATAGGAAGGGCTTAGCTGAGGTTGGAGACGTGAATACTAAGTGCATTTACTACAGTTATTTTTCTCTAGCAGTTCGAATGGAAGCAGAGAATGATGAAACAGATGGAATGACACAAACAGGAGGCCAATAATAGTAGATAATGGGGTGATGGAATGGTATGCTATTTACATGTCTGACTATGGAAGTAAATCCCACCCAGAGGAAGGCAATAAGGAGAAAAGAATGGAGGGGTAGAATTACAAGTTACAGAACAGGTACAGTGAGAACAATAGTGGGACAGGAAAATGAATGAGCTGTTATTAGGATCAGATAGACAAGCAGTGACACATTAAGAGGTCCCAAAGATTTGTCTTATCCCTTTTTTGACAACCACTACCATCTGCTTGTCCCTTGGGTTTCTATTCCTTGTGTCTGGCTATATTGCAGAATATGGTCCCTAGTTTTTCTCTTTCTGATTGCCCATGAAGACAAGCACACAGATATTCTTTGTTTAAAGGTTTTACTGCTTATCCAGAGAACACAGGAAATCCTAAGAAAGTAACAACCTGGGGAAACGGTGGAAATTCCAGAACACTCCAGAATCCTTACAGATTTCATTTCTGTTTGAGGCTACTGGCCTCCTAGGAAGTAGTGGCTAAAAGCCCTGTGGTTTTTTTGATGTTATTCTTAAACATCTCCTCCTTTCCCTAGATCCAGCAGAATCGTTTCTTCTAAGACTCAGTCGACAAACGAATAGTTTTGAACTGATGCATACTTGGTTCACAAGTGAGCCATTCAAGTTAGACTTAAGAACACCCATTTCCTCCGTCATTTGGGCAGAAACTGATTACCAACCACAGACTCTGTTTTATAGGTGCCTGTGAATGTCAAGGCCTTCCTTCTACACATAGAAGGCAATTTCTCAGCGGCCAGGGTGTATGCCAGCAGATATGCAAGAAATGACAGAACACAGGATGGAGCTAACAACGTGGGCCAAGATTCCCTGCCCAGAATATAAACCAGAGTAAAATGGGGGCTTACTGGCTCCAGGAAAAGGAGCAACAGTACCCAGCTTTCAGTCAACCGGTCATTCTCTTTGTACAGGCTTCATCAAGCCCAAGGTCCACTGGGTCCTTCTATCTGAGGGTCCCTCCAGTGCCCTCCCTCCTGGGGTTGCAGAGAACTAGCTGCCCGATGGCGACCCTGCGGGCTGATCAGTGGCAGCACCTGGCACAGCCGAAGCAGCCTCGTAGTCTGCGATGCGGCGCTGGACCAGCGCAGGCATGAGCTGCACATAAGCGGCCATGAGGCGGTGGTTGGAATGGATCAGCTTCCCAGCACAGCTGTGCAGACAGGCCTCCTGGAAGGAAGACAGGGTGCAAGTTGAAGCTGAGGGGTCCAGTCAGGCCCGCCTCCTTCGTTCCCCACCCCAGCCTAGGGGTGAGGGTTGTGAAAGTCCAGGGCCACCCGTAGGTAAAGTGGGGCAAAGGGGGCAGTCTACCGCTCCCCCCAAGGTCCCCACCTCTTCAGAGTCCAGAGCTCGGTGGTGCAGGCTGGGCACACAGCGATGGAAGCAGAGTTCTGTCATCCGATTGTAGACCAGCAGGAAGTCTCGCAACTGGGAGAGAGAGGCGCTCAAACTCAGCGACCAGGGCCCCACCCTTCACTCAAGGCCCTGCAGCCCGAGGGTTCCCACAGCCCAGTGCTTCCAGCCCTCGGATCCCCGGTTCTGTGGGGTTCCCGCCATTCGGGCCGGG